CTCCCACGACGGCAAAATCCCTCGCAGCCGCGACGCGCGCTTTTGCACTCACGCCACCAACGGAATGTGCGATTATTGCATGCCTCTCGAACCCTACAACGCTCTTTACCACAAGGAACATGCTATCAAGCATCTCTCCTACCACGCCTACTTGAAACAACTTACCCCGAAATCGTCTGGCTCGGCCACATCCTCCCTCCCACCACTGACTCCGCTTTCGTACAAAGTGAAGGTCCCGTGTCCCAGTGGCCACCCCTCCTGGCCCGCGGGTATCTGCACTTCGTGCCAGCCCTCTGCCATCACTCTACAATCGCAGCCTTTCCGAATGGTTGACCATCTCGAGATTGCATCCCACGAAGTGATCGACCGTTTTCTGCACGCTTGGCGGTCGAGTGGTTTCCAACGTTTTGGCTGGCTGATTGGGCGGTACGAACCGTATGACAAAGTGCCGATGGGGGTCAAGGCCGTAGTTGAGGCGATATACGAACCTCCGCAAGAAGGTGAACTCGACGGCCTCACTCTTGGTTTACCCTGGGAGGAGGAACCGCGTATCCGGGAACTCTCCGCCTCGGCCTCGACGCCGCTAACTGTGGTCGGGTATATCTTCACCGATTTGACCCCAACGCCAGAGGATCTGTCGAAAAACATCTATAAGAGGCATCCGGGTTCTTTCTACATGTCCTCGCTCGAGGCAATATTTGCTGCTACGATGCAAAAATCCAATCCGACACCTTCCAAGTCGTCGCCCACCGGCCAGTTCGCCTCAAGGCTGGTCACCGCGATCATAACTGCCACCGAGGACGGGCAGGTAGATATTGCTGCGTACCAGGTTTCGGAGCAGGCTTGCGCTATGGTCGAAGCAGACATGATAGAAGCGAGTGTCGATCCCGGAATCGTTCGAGTCAAGGAGGAGGACCGGACGCAGGACGCAGCGAGATACGTGCCAGACGTATTTTTCTCCTTTAAGAATGAGTATGGGCTCGAGGTGAAGAAAACCGCCAAGCCCGCCTTCCCTGTGGAATACCTTATGGTCAACGTGAGTCCAAGTTTAATAAAGACTGGAAATCCAACTAATCATTCTGCAGGTGACGCACGGCTTCCCACAAAATCCCTCACCTTTGTTCCAATCTTCCAAGTTTGCCATTGAGAATCGACATGGGTTTGAAGATCAGCGCGTCGAGGGCGTAATCAGCACCCTTGCCACGTTGGACGCGCCGAATATTGTGGACAGCCGACTCGCCAAGCCCGGGGAGGCCCACAAGCGGAGAGCGCTCGCAACGTGGCTAAGCGACTGGCATCTTGTCGCATTCTTGGATACAACGCAATTGTTTTCTCCAGTGGGTTGCGCTTACATTTTCTACCTTCGTATCCATAATTCCCCCTCAGGCGGACGTGAAGCTGATGATGCGAGTAATAACGTCGCCTACTCTTTTGGAGGACCTCAGTCAACTGGACCCGCTGCTCGCCACTGAAGGTTGGAATACACTGATGACATTTACGCGAGAGAGTGGATGTAAGTCGCTTATGACTCCGTTCTCGGTATGTTCTCAATGTGATCATATGCAGCGGCTCGGCCGGCAGCGTCGAGGGACGAAGACATCCCGCAAGATATCTTTGATCAAATCGCCGCTGAGGAGGCCGCAGCGCGAGGGAATGGGGGAGCTGCTGGAGGATCGAGCGGCATCAGGATCTGCCCTCACTGCACATTCGAGAACGCACACGGCGGTACTGACTGTGAGGTTTGCGGCTTGCCATTGTAATCAAATATAATGTATCAAACGTGAACTCGAACTCATCGACCTGATTTCGCGCCATGTGCAGATACAAATTACAAGGAAAACACGCTATGTACATTAAAACCCGACCACGATTACATCGTGTTTAGAAAGCTGCGCGCGCAGTGCCATTCTACTGTCCAAATATCCACCAAGTCGCAAACGCAACACCAAAGAGTACACCCAATGCGCGCGCGACGATAACCACGACGAGAGCTTTGCGAATTGCTGCATAGAATGTGCTCAGAGCAGACCCTGACCAGTTTATTCTGATCTAGCGTGAGTCAAGGCGCAGACGATGGAGAGAAGGACGAACCGTCGATCATTTGTACCCCCGCCTCTGACGCTGGCCTCCCACCCGCGCACAACTTCCCTGTACCGCTTGCCGAACACCCTAGGTACTTATAATAAGCCCTCGGTCCTGCTGTCATAGTCTAATTACATACCATATCCAGAAGTTGACGTCAGGGTACGAAAATCTGGGGAACACGCTCGCCAGACTCGGTGCGACGACAGTCCATACGAATGCCTTCTGCACCAGTTTGATACGGAAGCTGCACCATCGGTGAGAGTGGCGAGGAGGAACCAGAGTCGGGCTTGTGGGACTCTGAGTTGTCTCGCATCGAGGAGGGCGCAGGTAGGACCATGTACGACATGAGGTCAAGTGTCATACCCAGCGACAAACCCCATAGTTTTAATTTCTGTGGTCGACTGCGCTGCCCGGTTCCTTTCTCCAGAAGCGTCATGAGTGATGTTTGGTTTGCCGTCCGGAGTTAGCGAGGGAGGGGACGAAGGTTGAACGATAATCGCGGGAAATTCCATGCTGCCGACCAAAACCTGGACGAGGAGTCGTAGAGCAGTTGAATGTTTCGGGGCGAGACGAGAAGCGGCGTCAACAGTCACGGTCGACCATTTTGGCGGCGCGTGAGCAGAAACGAGCGATGCGAGTGAAGTCCAGTGCAGGGTGGTAGAAGCCGTGGGGTCGGGAGGAGGTGCATGGGGTGTTAGCTGAAGGAACACGAACGGCGAGAGGATCATGAGGAGCCGCTTTCCCAGCGAGGTCGTTATCTCCCTGTCGTCCAACTGCCCGACGCAAGTGTAATCCCGTTCAGCAAGGTCAATGCCTATTTCCTCCCACGTCTGCCGCATGGCTGCCATGCTCTGCCTTCAGAAAGTGAATGGTGGGGGCTGGGACAACTAGACATACCAGTATAAAGACCTCCTTCGTCGTCTGCTTCTGTCCTACCGCCAGGAAACGCGACGTGTGCCTCGTGCGTATTGCGTATTCTGGTCATGCCCGAGTCTTCTGGGGCGGGATTTTCGCGCTGCAAGAAAAGGATTTCGGGACGGGCGGCAGGGTCATTAACCCAGTCGAGTTCGAAGAATTGCGAGAGAGAGACTGGATTGGAATCGTCTGGGGGAAAGACTGCATTCGGGGCGGGGACGACGCGGATAATGAGGGACACGGCGGCTCTGCGTGGCTCTGTGGAGGCAGCGGGTGAGAATTCGAGGTCGAAAGCTAAAGCAAGGAACGCACGAGTCGGCGGGGAAGCAATTATGCGAGGCGGAGTTGTTCGAATTCTGTGAAGCGCTCTGGAGAGCAATGGAACGATAGATATTGGCTTCTCTGGTCAAAGGGTCAGAAAGAGCCATTGAAACACGCGTGGCGGGCTTACCCGACATGGTGAAGGCGGAAAGAGAAAATCCCCAAAGAGTCGATATTTTCGATCACACGAGCGCGTGACGCCGCCCTTCCCAAATGGCCACCCCAAATTCTGCGAAACCCGCTTTGCGACTGTGGCTGCCTTCTGGGATGGCGATACTATGTCCCCTGAGATGGCGAGAATCTGCTCGGGGCATCTTGGGAAATTTTACTGCTGATCTTGCGAACTGGCTTTTTCTGGCGGGGAATCGCTCTTCTGGACAACCAGGCATCTGATACTTATACGTCGTGCGCTGGGCACTGTCCAGCTGATAGGTACTAGGATGATGGTCGCATCACGCTCGGTACAGACGCCGACAGAAGCACTGGAGGACGGCCGAATGCTCGACCGACTTGGCTCATTCGAAGGACATTTTAAAAGAAGAAATGATAGACGGAATTCAGGTAAAGGAAAGTGTCGGGAATGGGCGCAGAAAAGGTCGACAAGACCAAGCGCAAGTCACTTCGACTCCAAAGCTCATGGTGGAGCACCCTACACTTGCTACGTTCTCAACCCAAAGCACCTTTTCTCTGCCCTCGGAGGATGCTCCCCGGTCTCCTGACTGCAGAGAAACAGTAACCTCCACCTCACTTTCACTCATCACCGACTCTTCAAGGACGACTGGAATGCTTTCATGATGCCACAATTAATATGGGGGAACACGAATGTGAAGACCTTTTTTTTAAAAAAAACCGACCCCGATGGCGCCTGTGGCCAAATCACGACGCCCCGCCCCCAGTTGTGCGCCCGCCGCCGCGCCCAACCCCTGCCCAACGTGCACGTTCCCCCCGAACGCCAACCTGCGCCTCCTCACCATGCCCCGCACCGCACCGCCGCGCTGCGCTACATCGCGCGCCACCTCCCTGGAGCGCAAATCACCCTCCACCCGTGAACGCCGGGCTCTAATACGCGCGGGACAATTTTACCGGGCTGGCGTACTGCTTCGCCGAGGTCGACAACACCGCGTTCTGGCGCGCCACGGGCCCACCGATCTACATACTCCCCGTGTCGCGCTTCAAGATCCCGGCTCGGTGAAGCACTTGCCGCACAACGCCAAGCGGCGTTTTGCATGATCAGCGATTGAAACAGCCTTGCATGTTGTACTATCGACCGTATAAATGTGACTTATTTGCTTTTGATCGACGCGACTTGAGGTGCCCGTCGCTCAACACAGTTCTGGGCTCAACGATTTGGTGCTTGACCCTTTTCTTCGCGGCAAATTTTGGACTGTGGTTCAAAAACTCGGCACATCTTGCGGGGATCAAACAAGGACTGCCGATGTGTCGAGCGACTAGCAGCCGTCGCTCAACTTTCGGGTGACGGGAGCCTGTTGACTGCATGGTTTTCAGTAGCAATATCAGTTGGGTCTTCTTTGTTTGCACTCCACAGAGTGAATAGTTGAATGGCATTCAACTCCAGCTGGGTAGGTCTAGTGGTTAGGGCGCCGGTTGAGATTGACGTCGGCTGTTGATGCCTTTGCTGAGCTGGGGCTTTGCACTCCCTCTGCGCTCTGTGTGTTGTGGGTTGTGTAGTCTAGTGGTTAGGACACCAGATTTTGAGATTCTAACGTCTTCTGGTAACCTGGGTTCGAGCCCCAGCACGACCTGAATTTTTCTGTTTCATTTTTGCGTCGTCCCAAACCAATCAAGTCACCAAGACCTCAATCACCTCGGAACTCTCGCACGACCTCGTTCCTCGGTCGGCTCGAGTTCCTCGCAGCGCATATGGGTCAGGCAAATAAAACACGAGTCTAATAGAGAGGTGGAAGGATGTGTTGGTAGGTGTTGGTTGATTTGCCAACTTGATTGGAAGAGGAGGGAATTGGAAGAGGAGGGAAGAGGTATATTCATTGTACATAAGTGCTGGAAGTTAGCGGGTTAGAATGACCTGGTGCTCATGCTGCTCACTGGCAGTGCATTTACCTTTCAAATACAGCATTTGAACTAGCCACCAGATGAATTTTGGTTGGTATGTAGAGAGAATCACGCATTCCGTCCGTACTACCTGCGTGCATCCGAAAATTATTATTAAGGTCAGAACATTCGCCGTCCTTGCGGGCGTATTACGGGAGCCAGACAGCAGATTCGAGGGAATCGAGTGCGCTCCTGCGAGGTTGAACGTTGAGGTTGAGTCAGAGGTAAGGTAGGGTTAAGGTTAGTGTAAGTGTTTGTGTCCTCACTCGGCTTGATTTTGTCCAACTTCAACTTGACCTCGACTCACTTTGCAATTTCCTCGCCGAAAAATGATCCCCACTCCCGACCTGACCCATCTCCGCCCAGACGACTACGAACATGTATACGAACCCGCAGGTACGCTCTGAACTGGTAAAGCGCGCCCGGTCGAACCCGTTTCCAGAGGACACCTTTATTCTCTTGGACGCCCTCGAACAAGATGCCGAACAGTTGACCAGCTTGAACCCCAGCGTCTCTCTTGAAATCGGGTTAGATTCGCTGTTAGCAAGTCCTGCGTGATGGCCGACCCTCCACCAGTTCTGGCTCTGGTTGTGTGTCTACTTTCTTGGGCAGCATCACTGGCTCGTCTGCTCTCTGTGTGTCTCCGAATCCTCGTAAATCTCCTCAGCTTAGTGCATATTCAGTGTATCTCTGCACTGATATCAACCCCTACGCCTGCAAATGCAGCGCCGCAACCGGCCGCCAGAACAAGGCATGTGAAAGGAAGAATAACGCGTCGGGGCTAACTTCAGGGTGTCAAGGTCCCTCTCGAGGTCGTAAACGCGTCGTTGGGGCACCCGCTACTCAGCCGCCTCCACAACTCTGTCGATATCATTCTTTTCAATCCGCCGTACGTCCCCACAATATCCGATGAGGCGTCTGGAGCGCAAAACTACCGGGACATTGGAGGCTCGTGGGCAGGCGGCCAGGACGGAATGCAAGTCACCGACAGATTCTTCCCCCAGGTCGCTGTACGCAATCCGCTTGGATATGAACTCCTCCAATAACGACCGACAGGACCTCCTTTCTCCTCTGGGACGGTTCTATCTGGTGGCTGTAGCGCAAAATAACATCCCGGCCATCCAACGGCGAATGCGAGAAAATCACGCATTAGAGAGCAAAGTTGGAGTTATCTATCCGCGCGTTTCGTCCGCTCACCTGGTTCATAGATAGTCCTTCAACGACGCGCAGGTCGCGAGCATCTATCTGTGATCGTGTTCACAAGATCCCAGAGTGAATAAGATGATATTTTAGCAAGTACTACGAGTACGTTTTACAGCGGAGTGAGCGATTACTTTTCTTAATTATCCCGAGCTATAAACCTAGAAGGCGCGTCCGTATGCAAGTCCATAAATAGAGGTTTGTCCAAGTGGCCTCACTCGTCGCTATCCGTCGTCCCGGGTCGGCGACCTCGAAGACTGAAGCGAGATGGGGATGAAATAGACATGGTCCGACCATGCTCCGCTCTGGGGGTCGAGGCGCGACTGCCATTCGGAGGGTGTGCGCTTGCATCAAACTCAAGCCGCACCCGGATTAAACCGCTGCCCTGCAACTCGGCTGAGACGTCCGCTCCTGATGTACCTTCCGGTTGAATGTGCCGCCAAATCTGAGTGAACAAATGAGTACGACGAGCACAAGGACAAACGAGAGGATACACACGTCAATTTCGCCTTCACCGAGTAATTTGTCCTTTCCAAGTGTCTTGTGGTCGTGAACCCACACGAACAACTTGGGAGTCAAAGCCCCAGCTGCGAAATGGAAGGACTCATTCCTGGTGGTAAAGTGTTAGCCACATTCATGACTTGGAGACAGCAGTAAACCAACCATTCGGGAGTAGCGGTCTTGGCCGTAGGTTTCGTTTTGTACTCCTTGTCCCCGAGTCGAATGGTGGCGTATGGTTTGCAGTCGCCACTCGCAAAGTCCTTGGCGTCGAGGACCGTGACCCGGAGCGTTCCCGGTTCAGAGGTGGGCAAGGTCCTCATGCGACATGTTGGCTGTGTCGGCGTGCAGAGCATCGGGCTGGCCGATGGGGTGCGACGCTTGACCAGAGGGAATGTCGGGGACCGGAGGTGGATGGTTGTCGTCTTCCTTCGGCCCTTTCTTGAACACTCCAGTCACGCCGTGCAGCACGCCCTTGCCGGCGCTGACGGGCAGCCCACCGAACTGCTGTCATAGCACGCCCTGCGGTGGAGAACGTCGAAGTGTTTTTGCGGGACTTGGCAATGATCTCGGGGAGGAACATCAAGCGCACGCGAACATGGCCACCGTGCCCCTTCGAAGAAACCAAATCCACGGTGCGCTCAACCGCCTCGAACGGCTCAAAGTCGGCGAGCGGAATCTGCGCGGTTCCTAGCGTTTCGGCGGTGCCAAGCTGGTTCCAGTCAAAGAGTTCGATTGAAAAGTCGGCGGCCACACGTGACGGCTGGTCAACTCGGTTAGTGTATGTAGTGCTAATGCGATGTAGGCACGTACCACTTGTACGGTAAAGTTTTCGTTCCAGACTGGAGTCAAGGTCTTTTTCTTCGTCTGGGATTTGTAAACTTTCTGGCCGTTGAGAATGAACGAGGCAAACGGATCAGATTTGCCTAGACATTGATGAGGAGAAGAAAATCACAGGAACTGTGTGACATACCTCCGCGGTCAACACCACGAATATCGCTTCCGTCGAGCAGGTCAACTCGGAGGGTACCTTGGTCTACGGGGGAAATTAACATACGTAAACAAGTCATCGATCTGATCAACTCACTATTGATACTTTCGCGAGCCTCGAGCTGCACAGGAGCAGGAACATAGCGCGATTCGATCATAACAGTGGAAGAGGCACGCTCGTCGGCCGTGAGCGTAAACGATTGAGGCCCGGCCTGAAAACTCCGCGTCAAAAAGAGAGTGGTGGGCGCAACGAAAGAAACGAACGAGGGTCGCTTTCAGGAACGCTTTAGAATCTCCCTTCCACTCGGCAATGATATCGTCCTTCTCGCCCTCCTCCGCCTCGTTGAGCCGAAGCCATACCCGCCCAAAGTCGAGCTCCTTAATAAAGCCCTCACCGACAGACTCCCATTGTGCGTTGTTGCTTCGCGCCTTGACGGTGCTGAAACACGGCCAGTACCCATCGTCGAGCAGGACCTCGAGACGCGCTTTCTTGGACAGTTGGCCGGACATGACGTTGAACACGATGACACCAGACTCTAAAAAAGTGAGAGCGGATGAGCTCGCTTCAGCACTCCGAAGCATGGAATACGCACGATGTTCAAAGAGCTCGTCCATGGACATTTTGACACCGCCCTGTGCTTCCCCTGAATCGGCTCCTTCTTTCGAAGTCGGAGAGGCAGCCGTTTCTTCAGCCTGGGGTTCCACGATAGTGGGGGCGAGCGGGAATGTTGTCCTTGTTGGAGGAGGAGGAGGAGGACGAAGAGGACGACGAAGAGCGGACATTTTGGCCATCCGGATCCTCTGCATTCGCCACACGTTGAAGTTCGTTCTCCGCCGCGTCAAACTTGACGCCTTCGAGCGCGATGGTGGGGACAAACTCGGCGGTGTAATATAGCTGGCCCTTGTAAGCGTTGCCCTTCTCGAGACGAATAGGATCTGCTCCAGTCTTCTTGCCAGTGGATTCGAAGGGATAGAGTCGGTCAGAGGATTCCCGGGCTAAATCTGCGACACGCAGTTCGACCATGCCGAGGGAGCGATCCTGTACATTATCAGTCTCAGCAACACGATCATCTGAATGGCTTACCCTGGTCACATTCTGGTAATCCATGCACTCCAAAAGCATCGTCTATATGATTACGTAAGTCCACTGAACGGTCCGGATCACCGACTTGCTCACCTCCTTCAGCGAGTGGACTGCATACACATAGATGAACAACTGAGTGCCTCACAGAGAAATAAGTAAACTCACCAGGGATATAGATAATCTCGTCCCAAACGGGGCTCAAATCTAGATGATTGACTTCAACAAGCGGGACCAACGGGTAGAGAAATGCGTACTGTTGTTGATAACCTCCGTTCTACCTTTGGTGACATTGTTGACCAGTACGCGCAGGTAGGGGTCGCTCTGCGATACTCCAGAGTGAGAAAACAGTCCACTGGCACAACAAAAATGATTTACCTTGCCGCCGAGAGTAGCCTCAACGTTCCTGGACTCTCCATCAATCGAGGCCAAAGGGAAAAAATGGATAAAACGTACTTGACATCGGTTGCCTTGTCGATGTGAAGCCGCACAACGCCAATGGGTGCCTTGTACTGGTCCGCCCCGTGGAGGCTGCCCGCCATATTCAAAGGCTTCCACTCTGCCGACAAACGAATCTTGCCGGTCTTGCAGTTGCTAAGAGGGAACCAGTCGCGGCCGGCCTCCTTTTTGTTGTCGAGGAGGTCTTCCAGCTTGATGGACATGTATCCGACCACCGGGTCCTTGAGGAAGTCGCGGTCGTCGATAACCTTGATCAAGGCGACGGAAGCTGCCTTGTCGGCGCACAGGAATTCGTAAGCCTGCTCCCAGACGGGGGCGTTGGTGTGCTTGAAGAGCCTGGTGCTAAAGACGGCATTCTGTGTGTCTCCGAGATAGAGTCTCGCCAAAGGGTTGAGGTCGCCGGACAAGGATTTGCTCTGGTCGAGCTCTTTGGCTTGGTGGATGGTGAGTCGGACGATACCGACG